AGGTGAGTGTGTTCTATTCTGGGTTCTAGCCCGCCTGCTTGACCCCGTCCATGCCCCATCACAGGCTAGTGCCCCCCCCAACCCCATCTCCTGTCTCCCACTCGGTGGTTTCCTTCCCAGCGACAGCCCCTGTGGGGCTCCCTGTCCCAGTTTCGCCCCCTCCATGACAATCCTCCACATTCCCTGACACTAGTTTTTCTAAAACGCATATGAAAAGCCACTCACCAGGCTTAATACCTTTAAGTGACTTGCATTCTCTTCAAAATAAAGTCCAAGCTCCTTAACCTAGCCCACACAGCTCCTCTGTCCTGGCATACTTCTCCGGTGTTTGATTCTGTTATTTCTTCATGCACACTTTCCATTCCTGTCTTACTAGGCTGCTTTTAATTCACTTATTAAATACTGGGTACCTATATGTACACGACACCGTGTTTGGTGCTGGGGATACAATAGTAAACAGGCAGACAGGGTCCCATCCCTCAGGAAGGGCTACTCCACCTGGGGGGCCGGGGGAGACAACAAACAATTCAATACATACATAATTATACTATACATAACACTATACTATAATTATGTATGTATTGAATTAGAATGTAATGAATTCGAATGACCACACGTGCTAGGAGGATAATTACAGGTACTAAGACAACATATAGTGGGAGGGGATTTGAAGTAATCGAGGGGGTCAGGACATCTTGCAGAAGTGCTCTTTGGGCGGACCCCTGAAGGGCGAGCAGGAGTGAACTGGGGAAGGGGTGGATCAGAAGTGTTCTGGTCCGAGGGAACAACAGCACAAAGGTGGCCAAGCAATTTGGTTTACTTGGCAAACAGAACACCAGGCTGCTGGGACAGGCAGAAGCTAGACCGCACAGAGTGTGGAAGGCTATTCGATCTCTAGGAATGCGGGGAGAAGTCTGGGGTTCCAGTGGGGCGTAGAAGTCCTCATGTTGTCTGGCTGCTCTGTGGAGAATGACTCGGAGCTCCCTAAAATCTCTTTGGTCAATCACAACATTACTCCTCGGCCTGGATGCCCTTTCTGGAAAGATCAGAGTTTCCTCATTCCCGAGAATAAGCAAGGATCTCCTGGGGACTTTTGGGAGATAACCAGGATGGATCTGGAGGGTTAGGAGGGGGCTGAGGGCTTTGAGCTTAAAAAGTGGAACTAAAAATATAGATGCTGGAGTAACAGCAAACTCTTTGCTGGCACTCGCCTGGTACCAGATCCTACTCGGATCCATTTCGTGTTTGCCAACTCATGGAGGCCCCGCAGCAGCTGTGTGTGGCAGCGCCAGCCTGTCCCCCCCTGTAATTGAAGACACAAATGCAGGCAGGTCACACGAGCAGCAGCGGCTGGGCTGAGGCCGTGAGCCCCGGCAGTGGGACTCCAGGGCCCGAGCCGCTAACAGCTCCCCGATTCAGCCGCTCTTTACGCTGGGTCGGAACATATTCTCGGTCTCCATTTTAAAATCCAAAATACAATATGAAAAACTTCCTTTAAACAGTCATATGCATTGTAAAAATTAGAATAAAATTAAAGTTTATATTTACCCACATATTTATCATTTCCACTGCTCATGACTGCCCCCCCCCAAACGCACTGGGGTCTTCTTCTCCCTATATAGTTTAACAGTCAGTCAAGGATCCAGGCAGAGTTTACAGACAGAGTGTGGGGTGGGTTTCACCCCTTCCCAGTTTCCCTCCCTATTGGTATTTCCCGCAGAACTGCCCAGCTCCCCAGCCAGCATTGAGGTTCTCTTTTAATATTTCGTAGGACTGAAGTGTGCCCTCAGGGTCTTAATGTTGGCTAGTGTATGTTTCCGCTCTGAAACTTGCATATCATTCTTCCCTTACAGATGTTAGTATTCTGATGAAATCCCCCATCTTTCCCTCTGTGCTCTTGGTCTTATTCACCCCAGTTATCCTAAAGTGCCTGTCTTACAACGTCAGTACTAGCTTATCTGTGGGTCTGTTTCTGTCTGTTTTTCTCCTGGATTCTGAGTGCAAAAAACCTTGTGCGAAAAGTGACAGGAGCTCTTAAGAAAGGATTTCGCTGGGGGCGCCTGGGTGGCTCAGTGGGTTAAGCCGCTGCCTTCAGCTCAGGTCATGATCTCAGGGTCCTGGGATCGAGCCCCGCATCGGGCTCTCTGCTCGGCAGGGAGCCTGCTTCCCTCTCTCTCTCTCTCTGCCTGCCTCTCTGTCTACTTGTGATCTCTCTCTGTCAAATAACAAATAAAATCTTAAAAAAAAAAAAAAAAAAGAAAAAGAAAGGATTTCGCTGTCATCTAGAAGACAGTTGGGATACAAAGGAATGACTTTGTTCCAGTTGGAGCTGGGTTTCAGCATTTGTGAGGGCTGGTCTAGTTCTGGTTTGCGCTTCCCCCTGGACGGTAGTTCTGGTGCTCATGGGGGAGCGTGTCAGAGGCCCCGGCTGAGAGCATGGAGTCCTTACCGGAGCTGCTATGACATGGCCGATCCTGTGCTCCAGCCCGTCTCCTAGCCCCAAGAGAAAGCCAGAATCTCCTCTTAGCGTGTTGGGCCCTAGAAGCTGCTTCCCGTTTAGTCTCCTGGCACCACATCCAGAACGTGTGCAGCTTTAGCAGGAGGCAGACGTTTCTCAGTAGGAAGTTACGCAAAGACTTTTGGGCTTTCTCCTCTGTGACTTCCTCTCCTCTGGAATAGTGACCCCTGGAGTCCCTGCTACCGGGGAGGCCCTGAACTCCAAGCCTGTCTCCCAAGGTCAGTGAGACTGTGGAGAGTCCAGGCCTCTGACTTTCCCTCAGTTTCTATCATCCTACTCTGCCAACAGGAAAATGATCCACGGTGGGAAAACTGAGGTGAATGTGGGACCAACTAAAAGTAAACTAGTTTCCTACTTCATTCACACCACTCCTGATGCCAAATGTGTGGGTTTTACACACAAGGATTTCTCTCATTCTCTGTATGTGACAGAGACATGTATAGGACACCTGGGTGTCCTACGATTTCACTCCACTCTGACACTACCCAGAGTTAGTGCAGACCCAGAGATTAAGGGCTCAATTCCTTAATCTCAAGACTCAAGTCTCAAGACTGCCCTGTACTTTAGATGCCAATCAAAAGTCCACGCTTCCCATATCTCTGACCTGCTGTCTATAAGTTGAGGGATCCCATGATCCCCTCCTTGGGTCTGATAATTCGCTACAATGGCTCGTGGAACTTAGGAAAGTGCTTTACTTTCTATTAGTGGTTTATTATAAAGAACACAACTCAGAACAGCCCATGGGAAGGATGAGCAGGGCAAGGTATTGGGAAGGGGCCCAGAGCTTCCTGCCTTCTCTGGGTACATCACCCTCCCAGAAACTTCAGGTGTTCGCCAACCAGGAAGCTGTCTAAACCCCACAGTCTGAGGCTTTTTATGGAGGTTCCATTATAGAGATATGATTGATCAAATCACTGGCCCTGGGTGAATAACACAACATCCCTAGAGGTCAGGGGGTGGGGAGAAAAGTTCCAAACCTCTCACCACCTGACTGGTTACCCTGGCAACCAGCACCCAACCTCCAAGTGTCACCTCAGCATAAACTCAGAAAGGGAAGGAAGGGGCTTACTACAAATAACAAAAATATAATTCTTCTCGCCCCTATCACTCAGGAAATTCCAAGGGTTTTTGGAGCTCTGTGCCAGGAGCCAGGGATGAAGACCAAATACACATTACTCATTATATCACAACATCACAGTCCTTTTCTGGAGGGTCCTAACCCATTCTGTGTTTTCTACCTTGGTTGTTACAGGGTTTTAGACCAGCTTTTAGTTTTCCAGCTTCAACCAGCATTGTCCATGGGAAGGTTAGAACAATACTATGTACTTCATTATAAACAGAAGCAAGTCTTCCTTGCTAACTGGCTTTAGAGGAACTCTCAGCTAATTTTCATAACTAAGTGTACTTGGTACACAGGCAATGGCCAAAAACTATTTTCAATGAACTTTTGGGGGGGTATTTGTGGAAGAGATGAAGTCAAAGTAACAACTTCCCAGTGGACAGCCATGCACCAAAACCATCACAGTCACTGTGACCAGCACGGCATGGTTTCCACATCGGCAGTCTCTGCAAAACGGTTAATTTGGTGACAAAACTAAGAATCGGTTCATTTTTAGGCTATTCGGTCCCCCAAGTTCTGGAAAGGACAGCAAGGAGAATCTGCTGTCATTCATTGACTTACTAACACTGAGATAAATTTCTTTAGCCTCAGAGTATTGGCTGCCATTGTTTGTACATATATGGCACTTTTGACCTCAGTTTGAGGCAGTTTAGAATATTTATATTAAAAACTTAATATTTATATGAGTTAGTCAGCATTATTATACATAAGAACTAATAAAACGACTTAGTCTTCGCAAAATGCATGAGCAAACAAATTATTATTTTACTAATTAACTTTAAAGAAGCAAGCAGAATTATACAAGGTAGGATAACTGACAGCCACCAACCTGGATTCCCAACTGGCTCTACCCTTTACCATCCAGGCTCAAGAATATTGCAACTCTTTGAATGTTTTATAGGACAGAAAAGGGAAGAGATTCTCCACCACTGTTTTGCAATCAGTACAGCCCTTTAAAAAAGGCCACATGTACACATGCACACACATATATTGTGTGTATACACAGCAATAGACGTAATAAATAATTCTTTTTTATACAGTCTCTTAATAAGTAACCTAAATGTCTAACAGGAAGCTATTATTTAATGCTAGTTCTTTCTAATTTGTTTGGCATTAGAATCGCTCAGAACCTGTACTTCAACCAAGCACTTGGAGCCCCGAGTGACGAAGTGCCTCTCAGATCTTTAATAAAAGGGGTGTTTTCCCAACGAAGAAGTCCCTCACTCTGGCACATACATTTTAATACCACTGGATGGGGAGAACCAAAAACAGGGGCAGAAAGCACAGAGAAGTAACAGATGAATGCTTCAGAAGAAGGATGTGTGTGTGTGTGTGTGTGTGTGTGTGTGTGTGTAGACTCACCCCATGTGGTCACAGACTTGAGGTTTTCCTCGTCCAATTGAATAATGCTGGACTGGGTTGGCTTCTGAAAGTCCTTACCGCTTAGAATCTCCTTCACTGGGTTAAATGTTTTAAATGAGGGAGAGACGTAAAGTGTCTCTACAGAGGCCTGGTTGTAGAAAGTAGACTCTGACTTTGACACCCTTAAATTAAGGCTGATAAACTCCTCTTTATCCGGTGACTGAAATGACGGTAGGGTTGTCAACGTTTCAAAACTTTTTGCAACTGACTTCTTTTCTAGACGCATTTGCGAAGGGTGTTCGGTTACAGTATTTGTAATGGTACTGTCCGATTTCTTGTCCAAACTCACATTTGTCTGCCCAGATGGGCTCTTTGCTGAGGCAGCAGGCACAGCATCTGTAAAATAACAAGTAAAAACTATGGTCAAAAAATACAGCAGAAAATATTCTATTCCAAGTCCATTGCAATTTTACTTTTTTATATTTTTTAAATTTTTATTTTTTTGAAGTAAACTACACCACATGTGGGGCTCAAACTCATGATCCTGGCTCAGGCTCCACTGACTGAGCCAGCCAGACGCTCCCAAATCTCTTGCAATTTTAATAAATCAGATTTTTTAATGCCATAACAGGATTCTCTGTTTAGTTGTTTCTACTTTCTTACTATGTTTCTCTCCTGCCTATGGCAAGTATACCCCGGTGATTACTGATGTCTTAGTCATTTGGTGGCCGTTTCTCTCTCTCTCCTCACTGAAGCACAAGACAAGGAAAGCTTCAAATAACTTGTCTTTAAATATTTCTCACTTCACCCACTTATCTGTCTCTGAAACCACTATATTTTTAGTACCTTCAAACATTCGTCTTTTACAAGATAAACTAGAGAAAATATGCCACATCATACTGGTCTATCCCTATAGAACCTCCAGCTACCAAAAAAAAAAGTCTTTTCCCCTGTAACAGAAAGAAAATGTCTTCTTGGGGCACCTGGGTGGCTCAGTCAGTTAAGCGTTTGACTTCAGCTCAGGTCATGATCCCAGGGTGCTGGGATCTAGCTCTGTATCGGGCTCCTTAATCAGTGGGGAGCCTCCCTCTCCCTTTGCCCGCTGCTCCCCCTGCTTGTTCTCTCTCTCTCACTGTCAAATAAATAAAAAAAAAAAAAAAAAAAAAAAAGTCTTCTTGTCCCAGTGTCTATGCAGGGCCCATGAAAGAAAACCCAACTTTAGGTAGCAGCCTAATTTTAATAAACCCTTTGTCTACGCGGGAGAGCAATCTTTCAGAGCCGCTATTGTGATTACCAAAATGTAAGTTCCATTAAGTCAGAATCTTTGTCCATTTCATTCATTCCTATCACCACGTGTACCTAGACTATAACAAAGGACCTGGAATGCAACGGAGAAGTAATATCTATTATAAATAGAAGGAATTGAAAGGAACAGATATTTAAGGTGGGTCTGATACAGAAAGATCTATTGAATCTATAAATTATGAGCCTGGTCCAAATTTCTGGATGCCAATTGCTATCAACATTCAGTGCTAGGGCTTTGCTCTCCAGAAGCTGGATATGGAAGAAAAGAGAATTATTTTAAGACATAGAGTTGATGAAATGAGAGGCATAACGAGACGAGAGTGGGCAAAAGGAAGATGAAACATTTGAAGCTCCCAGAAGAGAAGAGGGTACAGGAACTGTGTAACCCACTGTCAATGGCTGACATCATAACCTCCCTCACAACGCACGTTTATCTGCTGTCACCATTACGGTCAGGCTCTGAGTTTTTAAAGAAAAACAAATTTCCTTTCGCTCTAAAAACCTTCCTTCCCCTCTTCATCCACCGTCGGAGGTCAGCCTGGGCAAAAGGGCTGCTAGGATGCCCCAGCACTGGACCTCACCGCCTCTGTCAGGAATTGGGTTTTATCCAACCCTCTCAGTTGCAAGCTTTCTCATCTTTGCAGACTCAATTCGAGTTTCACGTTCTCCTGTCCTAATCCTTTCCTTGCCCTATCCTGTTTTGGTCTTTCTTAACCACGCCCTGTTCGGAGCCCTGTGAGTCATCAATACATTTCATCTCGTCTCTCCCTGGTCTGGGCCCGACCGGAGAACAGGGCCCTGAAGAGACATTAGTAGGAGTCCTGTTTGTGCTCCTTAAAAGCACGGCCCCTAGGATGTGTTCAGTGAATGCCTGTTGAGGAAAAGAACAAATCAAAGCACAAGGATAAAGGAAAAAAAAAAAATAATAATCTTCCTTTTGCCCACTCTCATCTCATAAGGGGCTCCTACATGGGTCATGATCTCAGAGTCCTGGGACTGAGCCCCACGTCATCAGGCTCTCCCTCTGCCCCTCCCCCCTGCTCATTCTCCCTCTCTCTCTCAAATAAATAAATTTTAAAAATCTTTAAAAAAATACTAATATAAGGGTGCCTGGGTGGCTCAGTGGGTTAAGCCTCTGCCTTTGGCTCAGGTCATGATCTCAGGGTCCTGGGATCGAGCCCCACATTGGGCTCTCTGATCAGCAGGAGGCCTGCTTCCCCCGCTCTCTCTGCCTGCCTCTCTGCCTACTTGTGATCTCTGTCAAATAAATAAATAAAATAAAATCTTTTAAAAAATACTAATATATTCCTGGTAGAAAGCTAGATTTATGGTATTCCCAAGTACATGTGTACATCACCATATTTCCATAAAAGCATTCTTTGAAGTTAATTATAGTCAAAAATTTCTCCATTGATTTCCATTTTACATTTGAGAAAAATGGGGGAAAAGCATTTTCTATTGTAACAGAATCATCTTAAAATTTAACAATAGGTAAAGTAAAATAACTCAGAATGACAATGACTTTCTGATGGAAATATTCGTAATAACACTCAATCTAAATCTCAAAGCTAGGATGTATAAGCTTATCTGTATAGCCATCTTTTTACTTTATTATTATTTTTTTAAGTAATCTCTATACCAGCGTCAGGCTCCAACTCATGACCCCGAGGTCAAGAGTCGCATGCTCTATCCACTGAGCCAACCAGGTGCCCCTGGCCATCATGTTAATGTTTAGTACAGAAACTTAAAATTACAAAAGAAAGAATTATCTTAAAATTCAATGAGACAGGGCACCTGGGTGGCTCAGTAGGTTAAGCATCCGACTCTTGAGTTTGGCTCAGGTCATGATCTCAGGGTTGTGAGGTCTAGCCCTGCATCAGGTTGGGTATAGAGTCTGCTTGGGATTCTTTCCCTCCGTCTGACCCCCAGCCCCTACCCCAGCCACTCATGCTTGGTTCTCTCTCTCTCAAAAAAAAAAAAAAAAAAAAATCAATGAGACAAACCAGACGGAAGTCTATCCACCCCCTTTCCCAATTGTCCAGGAAGAAAAGAACACAGTCTTCTGATTGCTTAGACTTTCTGTTTGTTTGCTTGTTTGTTTTAAAGATTTTATTTATTTATTTGTCATAGAGGGAAAAAGCACAAGCAGGGAGAGTAGCAGGCAGAGGGAGAAGCAGGCTCCCCGCTGAGCAAGAAGCCTAATGCGGAACTCAATCCTGGGACTCTGGGATCATGACCTGAACCGAAGGCAGATGCTTAACCAACTGAGCCACCCAGGTGTCCCTAGACTTTGTTTTTTAAGCTGGCAATCTTTTTTTTTTTTTTTAAAGGTTTTATTTATTTGAGACAGAGAGAAAAAACAAGCTGGGGGCAGAGGGAGAGGGAGAAGCAGACTCCTTGATGAGCACGGAACCTGATGTGGGGCTTGATCCCAAGACCCTGGGATCGCGGCCTGAGCTGAAGGCAGAGGCTGCACCGACTAAGCCACCCAGGTGCCCCTAAACCATAATCTTTTTAATGAACAAAACACTATCATCTAAAAGAAGAAAGCATGACAACAATTCAAAAATAATGATTTTAAATGCAGAGCAGATGACAGAGGAAAATGTTTCCTTAACTAGAAGGTGGAAGAGGCCTAAGAGTCTAGAGAAAGCTTCACGGGGTCTCTGCCGCCTCCTTGCTCCACCCCTTCCGGGGTGACAAGCGCAGCCAATCCTCCACAGTCCCGCCACTGCTTTAGTTGTAGTTAATATTCACAAATCCTTCAAAAACTCCCTCTTGTTCCAGTGACAAAGTCTAAATTTCTTGGGCTTTAAAGGCCTTCCATTGCTGCTTCTTTGTTTTGTTTTGTTTTGTTTTGTTTTTCCTTTCCTTTTCTTTTTGGTTATAGTCACTTCAGAAAACTAACGTACCTGCTGAGGCAGATACTGAGTGAAGAGAGTCTACCCCACCTGCACGGGCTCTACAAGGTCTGGAGGATTAGGTGTGGGCATCAGCCGTACCACAGGGTTTGGCGAGCTGCTAAATGCCAAGTGGAAGGTGGCAGGCTAGTATCTTGCAAATGCTCTCCTGGCCAATCCTTCCAGTTTCTGGGGAGCATGGCCCTGACCAATAGCTTCATTCTTCATCAATGGACCCACTGAAAACCCTCCAACTTGATTTCCATTTATATACATATTATCTAGAAACCTCTGCTGCCTTCCAACTAATAATAACTTCGTTTTACTGTTTCTTTTTTTAAATTGAGCTACAGTTGACATATAACTGCATTGGTTTCAAGTGCACCACATAGTGATGTGATGCGTGTTGTAAAATGATCACCATACTGAATCTCATTAACATCCACTACAGTTATATAGCTTTTTCTTGTGATGAAAACTTTTAAGACTCTCTAAGCAACTTTCATATATACAACACAGCGCTGTTAACCTCAGTCACCATGCTGTATATTACATCCCCGCGACTTATTTTATGACTGGAAGTTTGTACCTTTTGATCACCTTCAGCCATTTCTTCTTTTCCCATTATTGTTATTCTATTGCTTGTTTTCTATCGCTGCTCAACAGGAAACTAGCCTCTGGTCAGGTGCTCTCTTCCTCACTCACATATCCCACATTCATTCAGGTCCCTTTAGTTTCATTCTCCATGGCTCTTTATCTTTACTACCATCGCTTTCTCACCCTGCACGCCACCATGGAATGCCCTCCCCTTCCTTTATCTATTTTTAACCCTACCAACTTCTCAAAGTCCATCTCAACTACTTCTAGAAACTATTTCTAATCACGTCTACCAAATCCTTCCCTTCTCTGCATAGTAAATATTCGTTTCTGTAAATTCTTTTTTTTACAAATTCATTTTTCCCACTAATTATATGCTCTATAGAGTCTATAGAGCTCTGTTCGCTTTGGACTATATTAGACTCTGGAGCCATACCTAAGTGCAAGTCATAGTTTCTACTGTCATTGAACGTAAGATCAAGTGTGGATTTTGTATAGGTAGATAGGTAAAATATATATACATTCTTGCATATACATACGTATATGCACACAAAAGTATATGTATGACAGGGACACCTGGGTGGCTCAGTGGGT